TTTTTCACTAAATGTTTGGATTTCTAAAATTATTGTGCACTGATTTTTCTAGAATAACTTTTGCTGCCGAATTATCCACTAACCTAGTTTATGAGTTTTTTTGTCATAGATTATAAATATACATAGGCCTATATTTTTTCAGATTTATTGTTTATTTTATTTTTCTTTATAGTGAAGTAGTCTGTATCTAGTAGATTGTAAAATAATGATTATAATTTCCACACACAGAGATATATAAATTCTACATTTATTTAAATGAGGGAAAAAAACTTCATTGGTATCGGATCGGAATCGGTATCGGCCAATACCGAACCCTAGGTATCGGAATCGGTATCGGAGGCAAAAAAGGCGGATAGGAGCATCCCTAATTTTCTCTTTGCATTTTGTTGATGGCCCAATCGTCAGAAGGTGACTTCATATACAGTAGGGGTGTAAATCTGATGGATCGTCACGATACGATACGATACGATATCGATTCTCATACCCAGCGATATGATATTTGCCCATACCTCAAAAAATACCCACAAACCTCAATAAACTGGAGCAATGTTACAAAGAAGAGTGGGCCAGAATTCCTCCAGAACGATGTGAGAGACTGACAAAGTCATACAGAAAATTATTACTTCACGTTTTTGCTGCTAAAAGTCAATCTACTGTACATGCAATTGAATCATAGGTCTTTGTCACACATGGCTTTTACATTTTGGCTTTATTTTTGTTAAATATATAATGACACGGTGTGATATGTCATGTGATGTTTTTCATCTGAGGTTTTATTTTCCTAATTTTATGAGCTGCCAAGGACCAGATAATCTTTTATTATGCCCTGATACAGAAAACCATGGAATTCAATAGGGTGTCCTAACTTTTTCACACGACTTTATACAGACACATCGGATCAGCTGTTCACGTCCACTTAAGACATAAACTGTGTTTAAGTGAGTACTATCGGCATTCTGACATATTTGTTGTGTGTATTTGATCATTTGGACGCACACTCGAAGCCCAAAGTGTAATTAGCTTGTCTGTTTTAGAGCGCGCACAGCCTAGGGAACAGCATCTCTCACCCGGATTAATGTGCTTTCAGCGTTTTATCAAACATGTCCCGCAAATTAGCAACAGTAAAGACTGCATTTTACAACAATCAACGATTGTGCTGATTCTGACGTTTAGTTTGAGTTTTAGGGAGGAATGAATGTGTGCCTCTGTGAAGGGAAAGACATTGTGCTAAACGCGACTAGTTTTTAATAGCTTTACCTCATATCATCTTTTTATGATCCTTGGAAGCCAACATTGAAATTAACAATAAAATTAGCCTAATATCACAGCCCCAGGCCTGAAGTGTAAGCAGACATTTGAATGTTTATTTCTCTCCTTTATCATCACAGTTAAACAGGGTTTTAATATTGTGCACTCTGTAGCTCCTCTGCGTGAGCGCAATCTCTCATCTGAATTGCAAAAATGCATCATAGACAAATGTCCTAGTGTCCTAATATTATTGCATATAAAAACAGCGACTCTGGCTAAATAGTATTTGCAAGATAATGTCTATATAGCAATAATAAATGTATGTGTAATTTTCTTAATTTCTCCAATACGGATAGCAGAACCGTTAACGTCAGAGCTTATCGATTCATCGGTCTTTCATCATTTATCCCCGGGGCGCTTTTAATACCGGGTTTCGGTACTCATCCCTAATCTTAACAAACTAATACATCGTTGAAAAAAACATTACTGCAAAACTATTTAATAGAAAAAGAATAGAAATACATTTCCTAATTAATCTTGATAATTTACTCTTCCTTTTAAGAGCCCATTAAATTAAGCTCTTAAAATGTGTATTTTTGTTTCTTAAAATTATAGATAATCAACACTTTTGTTTGTCCTTTAACTGATTTATTTATTTATTTTATTTTTTAAATATGATTGAATAAATGGTTTGACCATTTTGCTTACATTTTGTGGTTCTGTTTCTCCTTTTTCTTGCTTTCCTTGTAGGATCTTGAGAGCAAAATAATCACATTTCTGAAGAAAGAACTGGAAAAGTTAAAGAAAATATTACAGAAAGAGAACACACAATACTTGGTGAAGGACTTTATTGAAAACAGAAGCAGTATGAAAGAAGCAGCTCTTGATCTCTCGCTCTGCTTCCTGAGAGAGATGAAGCAAGATGAAGCTGCTGATGCTCTCGAAGGTAAGAGACCCACCGTCTGTCAGCTTGTCACTTATAGATGCAGGAAAGAAAACAAGATTACAAATATCTGTATTGTTGTCTTTTCTGTGTTTAGATGAGCTGTTCTTCATTCATCAGCTGAAATGTAGCCTAAAGAAGAAGTATGAATGTGTGTTTGAAGGAATAGCAAAGCAAGGTGACTCCACACTTCTGAAGAACATCTACACAGATCTCTATATCACTCAGGGTTGTAGTGAACAGGTCAACACTGAACATGAGGTCAGACAGATTGAAGTTGCTTCCAGACGTCATGAATCACAGGAAGTACAGGTTAAATGCAAACATTTGTTTGAAGCACCTGAACAAGACAAGCAGATCAGAACTGTGTTGACAAAAGGAGTTGCTGGCATCGGAAAATCAGTCTCTGTGCAGAAGTTTGTTCTGGATTGGGCCGAAGGAAAAGAAAATCAGGATATCAGCTTTATATTCCCTCTTCCATTCAGAGAGATGAACTTAAAGGAGAAAGAAAACCAAAGTCTAATGGACCTTATAACTCAGTTTTTCCCAGAGACAAAAGGACTGAACCTTACAAGAAGTAATAGTTTGAAAGTCTTGTTCATCCTCGATGGATTGGATGAGTGTCGTCTTCCTCTAAGCTTTGCTGGTAATGAGACGTGGTCTGATGTATGGTCACCAGCCTCTCTGGATGTTCTCCTGACGAACCTCATCGAGGGAAATCTTCTTCCTTCTGCTCTCATCTGGATCACCACCAGACCAGCCGCTGCCAGTAAGCTTCCTCCTGACTGTATAGACCGGCTGACAGAGATACGAGGATTCAGTGACGCACAGAAGGAGAAGTACTTCAGAAAAAGACTCACAGATGAGGATCTGGCCAGAGAAATCATTGATCATGTCAAACAATCAAAGAGTCTCTTTATCATGTGCCACATCCCAGTCTTCTGCTGGATTTCAGCCACTGTTCTCCAGAACATTTTAGAGGAGAAAAGAAATAATGATCTGAAAAACAATCAGGCTAGTGATGTCTCTCAAACACTGCAGGAGTCAAACACTGAAGACACTCCCAAGACTCTGACACAAATGTACACACACTTTCTCCGCTTTCAGATCCAGCAGAGCAGACGAAAGTATGACGGAGAATACACACCAGATGTTTCCTGGGATAAAGGTGCCATCCTTTCACTGGGGAAACTGGCCTTTCAACAGCTGGAAAGAAACAATATGATCTTCTATGACACAGACCTGGAAGCCTGTGGTATTGATGTCTATAAGGCATCAGTGTATTCAGGCATGTGTACCCAGATCTTTAAGGAAGAAACAGGGATCACTGTTGGTACCATGTACTGCTTCGTTCACTTGAGCATTCAAGAGTTTATTGCAGCTGTTTATGCACATCTGTTTCTAGACATCAACAAGAAAAGTGTGTTTGATAATGAGTCTACAGAACAGGAAAACAAAAATAAAACCATGATTGATTTGCTCAAGACTGCAGTGGACAAGGCACTGGAGAGTAACAGTGGACACCTGGATCTTTTCCTTCGCTTTCTTCTCGGTCTGTCACTTCAGTCCAATCGTCGACTCTTAAGAGGACTGTTGACACAACAAGACTGCAATGACCAGAGCAACAAGGAAATAGTTCAGTACATCAAGCAGAAATTAGAAGCTGATCTGTCTCCAGAGAGATCCATCAATCTGTTCTACTGTCTGAATGAACTGAATGATCAAACTCTGGTGAAAGAGATTCAGACCCACCTCAGCAAAGGAAGTCTCTCATCTGCTGACCTTTCACCTGCCCAGTGGTCTGCTGTGGCCTTTGTGTTGTTGACCTCAGAGGAGGAGCTGGAGGAGTTTGAGCTTCAGAAATTCAAGAAATCAGACGAGTGTCTCATTAGACTATCAGCAGTCATCAAAACCTCCAAAAGAGCTCTGTAAGTCAAAGTAAACAACACGTTTCATTGTCCCCCTGTGTTGGCCCTTGCCACAAGGCGCGTTTCCATTACAGATTTGCACAAAACTTTGGTGATATTTTATAAATGTCGATAAAAATTTCTTGCGAAATGATGGAGTTTCTATTAAAATGCAGCAAAAGCATAATTCTTTCCTCTCATGATAAGTCATGGCAACGGATTTAGGTGGGATTTTGGCTATATTTAATCGAAGGAGGCATATGCGTGTATTCTTACAGAAGCAGTGCGGAGCCGCTTCAGAAACGTGTGCGGCGCGGCTGGAATAAACACAAGCATTGACTAGTGTGTCCGAGATCAGCTTCAGTGGCCGTATCAGAGCCACACCGCAGATGTGTGCAGTGTAAATAGTCTAAGCATTAATGGTAGGGAAAGCCCCTTATACTGGAGAGCGGCCACGTATGAAGTGTTTCTTGGAGGTTATAGTACATTGAAGAATGATCATATGACTTTTCACATACACTATGTCACCTGTAAATGCGATAAAAACTCTTTCCATTCCAGTTTTGGGAAATATTCCTTTTTCGAATTGCCTGAAAAACCACCTCATGCGAGCGCAAAAATTTTTTTGCGATATATAGAAGTTTTTGTGAAATTGACACGTTTCCATTAGGCATATTTTCAATTTACAATTTCAATTTGCGCAAATTGAAGGGTAATGGAAACGTGCCTACAGTTAGCTAATATTATTAACTGTTCAAACGTTTGGAGTGAATATCAACTGGTAATCAGCTATCTAACCTAATATTATTTCAGTAATTTGCTAACCAATCAACCCTCTACGCACACCGTGGCAATATAATCGCCATTGGCTAGTACATTTTTTTGTTTTTTTTCTCGCCAGACTGATATACTATTTTACACACACACACACACGTTTACTTAGCTATCTAAATGGGGACATTACATAGACTTCTACTGTTTTTATATACAGATAGTTATACACTTTTTAACCTAAACCCACCCCTACCCCTACCCCTACCCCTCACAGAGAACTTTCTGCATTTTTACAATTTCAAAAGTTTAAAAAAACTTTGTTTACTTTATTTTTATAATAGTTTTACAAATGAGGACATCCACAAATTTTGCCGATTTTGTCAGGTTTTGCTCACATTTGGGTACAAATTTGTCCCCAAAATATGGTTAAGTACACACACACACACACACACACACATATGATTCCAGCCAATCAGCTTATCTTTGTCAAATGGAACAGCTTCTTAAATAACTGAATGTGCACTCTTAACTTCAGCCAATCAAGCATTATATTATGATATTATGATAATTAAGCACTATTTAATGATAGAACTAGTGATTAGAACTAAAACTTGGTAACCATGAATGAATGCATATTTGTCATTTTAACTGAACTTAGGACTGGTGGTGGTGTTTAAGATATTGTTGGTCATAGGTAATAGTAATTATTATTAAAATATACTACTACTACTACTACTACTACTACTATTTTCTGCTGGGTTCATGAATATTAATCACGTTGTCAGTGTTCGCTCGAACTGATTTGCTGAAACCAAAACAGGGACGGTAATAGATGAGCGCCAGCCAATGAGAGCTGTTCACGCATTAGCTCCGCCCACTGCCGAGAAACCGGCATATCTTCTGCTTGTTCTTAAAAGCTGAATAATTCTAAATGAACTCTGTTATTTTGACAGGAAAATACAATAAAGAATATGGTTTACATGTAGCGCGTCGATTCAGCGTGGTATGCAAGACTCTCGCTCTCTCTCTTTGCATGTGTGAGAAACACAGCGCTATCAGTAAAGTGACGGTGAGTCGTGCTCCTTCACACTAGTTTACGGTACGCCAAATACAGGTGCTGTAAGGGAATCAGGTCAATAATTTAGCTCAAAGGGAATCATTT